TGAATAAAACCAGAAGAGATCGAATGAGAAACTACGTGATCACAGGAACTGTTGGAACAGCACTGATCGTCAAATTTATTGAGAAACAAAGAATGAAATGGTTTGGCCATCTAATGAGAATGAAACCAATGATGCCATCAGCAAAAGCGTACAACCTGAAAATTGAAACATCAAGAGGGAAGGGAAACACTGAGAAGAAGATGGATTAAAGGAGTCACTGACACCTTGAGACTGCATAACATCAGGGCATATCAAGCGACTGAGCGCGCCCTGGCTCGGCTGCCTATCATCTGATAAAATTCGACGTCTAGCCGCATAAGTAGATATTGACAAAAGAAGAAGTATAGTGTGGGTAGGTAGGTCCGTAGCTGCTATTGTTATAGACAAATTCTCAACTGACTACCAAAAAGTCTTAGAATCGATTATGCGTCAAGGCTGAGATCGATTCCGAGTCAGGACGGAATGTTTTTCAGGACTAACGTTGGATACCAGTCTGCACACAGATAAGCCAGATCTGTAAAACGGACATGCACACAAAACTCAAGTTTTGGAACCTTTAACCCGTTATGGTCGTGGCGGTGTATCAATGAGGCACTACCACACAAAACCTGACATCTTTCTCTTGTCTACATCTAGTTGAACAAGTGTATAATAATTAAGTGTTTGCCGTTTCTTGATGTTGTCATTCTAGATTTTACCCCTTCTTCTTCGACTTCCCCTCCCCCATTGATCCTTAAAGTATCTTCTTCTTCTTCTTCAGCATTCCGACCCCTTGAGGTTCATTGCTGCAGATATCATCCGCCTCCATTCATCTCTCTGGTTGGCCTTCTCTTTCCAGTTGGTGACACCAAGTGTTTGCAGGTCTGTCTGGATATTATCTCTCCATCGTCTTCTTGGTCTGCCCCCCCCCCTCCCTTTTTTTTCCCCCGCTTCAACCCCCAACCTGGAGGACCAGGTTCCTTGTAGTAGAGTCTTCAGCAATATAATTATGTCATACCGCTCACTACTTTCTGAAACCAACCTAGCTTGCGACGTTTCACCGCTGCCAATGAGGCTCTAGGTGTCCTGTAACTGTTGTTTGTTTCTTGGGGGGGGGGGGGGTATGCCTGTTTATGAATCCCGCATTTGCATTTGTAAACATAAGAAACTTGAAATTGGTGTGTCCCCCAGTGCCAGATCCTGAAAGCTGAAGGGAACCACGCCCAGGCGCAAGTCTACGGCCGGCAAGCCTTCATCGTGTCCACGCTGGCCATGTGTGCTGGCAGTCTCACGTACATCATTATGCTCATCTACCAGAAGGTGTGGTAGATCCATGGATAACCAAAGCTGATTCGACGGGATACCGTTTGGTTGTACTGGAACTCCGGTATTTTCTAGTTGTACGCGCGCTGCAGTGGGTTTCCAGTATGGTAATTGTACACTGTGCAGTGAATCTCCAACATTTTGATTGTACATTGTGGAAAAACCTGGCACTACTGTCACTACTTAGGGAGGAGAAAAGAAGGGGGGGGGGGGGGGTGGAGATCGTTTGAGAATTTTAGGGCCCTATAGCTAGTATTGTCGCCACGGACTGTACCGGCTAGGATGTTTAATTAAGGCAGCAGGGAATACATTGCACCTAAACTTCAATGTCGGCGTCTGTGGCTTGAGCGTTGCGAACGCGCTTCCTAATGCTGGGATGTCGGGTTCGATCTCAGCTGCAGGCCTTGCGTTGTTTTCGACAGTGGTATTGAAAAGCTGACTCTCCAGAAAGCAGCGGCAAACTACTGGGCGTATATTTGTTTAAAAACCACAACAGCCAGAAAATGTTGGGGTTGGTTCTGCAGTGTCCTGTAAAGGATACGCAACTAACTTTTTTTTTAAAAAATCTTCAATGGGGCCACGGCACACCATTTTTAATGGATCTCAAACACTTGGAGTTTTGCACTTCACAATGGTTCTCAAATAGTTGGGTTCTTGCACTTTGCAATCATCATCATCATCATCATCATCAAATGCCGTGCGGACTGGAGTAGGCGTTCATTCATCTCCATAGATCTCGGTCCCTTGTCTTCTGGATCAGTTCCACCGATGATATCCCTCCGTGTCACCGTGGCAGTCCATCCGTCATCGCCTCTCTTGGTCTGCCTCTCCCTCTTCTATCGCTGATCTTGCAATGGAACTCGAATATTTCAATTTTAACACTTTACAATGGGTTTAACATATTGTGTGTGTGTGTGTGCGTGCGTGCGTGTGTGTGTGTGTGTCTTTTGCAGTGGATCTCAAATGTAAATCCCCATCGGGGATCGAACAAGTTTTCCACAATGTGTCAACCTAAGGTTCTGAAAACAAGTATTTAAAAAAAAAATTGTCCAATGAAGAGGTTCACAATGAAATTTTAAACTGAAATAAACTTTCAATTTAGAAAAGATATACATGTCTTGTAAATAACGAAATAAACGTTTAAAAAAAAAAAAGCAAGAATATTTATTTGTGGGTGTGTGTTTGCCCATGTGTGTCTCAGGCTACTGCGTTTCGTTTCGTTTTTAACATTCAGTGTAGTATACACTTTTTTACTTCCGCTTTTCGGAAGTTACGAGAGAAGCAGTGTCACCTGTTTTTTATTTTATTTTATTTTAAATTCCTTCTGATTGTTAGGACCGGCTTCAAACTGCTGTCATAGCTGGGGGATGGAGGCTAAGGATGAGCTGTCATCAAATACCCCTAAAGCATGTGCATTCCTCACCTCTGACAGATAAAGTACACACATGCCGTGATTGTAACTGACTCACAGAGCATGTTGAGAAAGTTGAAAACAGGCATGCTTCGTGCAGAGTGGCAAGCATCACTTTAGATGTCCCAGGTAGTTAGCATCCTTTGGAGTTTTTCTCCAGGTAATGCCGGTGTGTTGGGAAATGAGCAGGCAGATAGATTGGCCGGCTCTGCACGACTTGGTGGTGAATTGATGTATGACAAGTTAGATATTGTGAGGGCCCTTTAAGACCCAGTGAGCAGTGCGGAGGGGCAGATAAATCATTACGGTCTGAGGAGATTGGCACTGCGAGGAGTTACCAGGGGATCTGGCCAACGCTCAACACTCAGGGGAAGGATGAGACGGATATACAATCAGACGGTTACTGGTACCGTCGGAATTGGAACTCTTCGCTGGCTGCTGTAGAGGAGGACTGAGCACTTACGGGAGTGTCCTGAGTGCTGTGATGTCGATTCTCAGTTCAACATTCAACATTGACAGCAAAAGTCCAACTCCTGACCTTCTTGTGGCGGAGCTGTTTAAACCAACAGCAGAAAGGGCGACGTCGAGTAATCGGCGCCGTAAAAGGCTCCTCGAGTATGATCACACTCCACAATAGCAAAACAAGGTGCTGAAGTCGGAGGCAACTAGCCAGGAGGCACAACACAGCAGTCAGGATGCCATGCGAATCGACCGGAAAACCACCAGCCCCAGCACAAGACGACTATTCTATTATGGACAGACCAGAACAAGTCATTAATCTTCGCCTCAGAACATGGCGCAACTAGTTACGCAACTACGTGTACACACACTTCAAGAAAGGCGCATCAGCCATGTGCACTTGTGGAAACGCGCCCCAAACAGCAGAACGTGTACTCCATGACTGCACCGAATATGATACATTAGGACAAATCTTTTGGCCACATTACATCAGTGGAACGTAAACTCTACCGACCACTGAATTAACGTAAAACGACAGCGACAGTGAAATGTATGCGAGAGACAAAATTGCTGGTGTCATCATCATCATCATCATCAAATGCCTTGCCTACTGGCGTGGGCGATCATGCCTCTCCATAATCTGCGATCTCTTGCAGCATGTATCAGTTCGGGTGCCGACACACCTCCAGGCCATGCAACAAGACTGTCAAGCATCTTCTCTCGTTGTCTTCCTCTATCTCTCCTTCCACAGATCTTTCCAGTGGTCACAACATGTTTGTTCTATTTTCCTTCTTCTCATAACATGGCCGAAAAACGATGACTGTCTCCTTCTGATGTCTGTGATTAGCTGTCTTCGGGCTGCCGCCTCTTTCAAAACCTCTTGGTTGCTCTTTTTGGCTGTCCAAGGTATTCTAAGCATCCTTCTGTAAAACCACATCTTCGAGACCTCCAGAAATTGTTTGGCCTGCCTACCGATTGTCCAGATTTCACAGCCATATGTTAAAACTGGCTGTATGTAGACAACTTATTTCAGGCGAACGAAAGTAAAAGATAAGGATGATTAGACCATTGCCGACTTGCTAGACCCGTCGCTTAGCGGGGGGGGGGGGGGGAGAGGGAACGACCTGGTTGGTGAATGTCTCCCACCATGCCAGCGACTGCCACTTTGGCTTCACGGCTACAGTTTTCCCGCGTACTCTACAGGGAGATGGAGTTGATTAGGGGACACTACTCACGAAAGTCAACCCATCTCGGCGGCGGCAAGATTTCGTAGCGGTTTCCGGGGGCTGTCTTAGGTTTTAGTGGCGTTATGAGATGTATGTATTCCTTCGTCACCTACGTCGTCTTAATGTGCGTGGGAGGATAACTTTGAGAGATCAACAGTCAAACAGAGTGTACTACCTTAACAAGAGAGGGAAAGATATAGAGAAAAGGAGAGACATGTACAGAGATAGAAACGAAGAGAGAGAGGCGGAAGAGAAAGAGATAACGAGGGAGAGAGAAGAAGAGACAGAGAGAGGGAGAGAGAGGAGATGAGAAAGGGAGAGAGAAGAAGAGAAAGAAAGAGAGAGAGAGAGAGAGAGAGAGAGAGAAAGAAAGAGAGAGAGAGAGAGAGAGAGTTGGAAATCCACTGCAGCCGACATTCTATGTGGAGACGGCATTAAATTGATGAATTAATTAATTAAACTCATTTCGTTTCCTGTGACAGTTTTTACATTCGCCAATCAGAACTCTCCTGTATCTCCGAAAAGAAAATGGGAGACACACAAACATTCCAGTTTCATGGTTACAATTTCTCTGGTTATTTCTGATTGCCTGCACCAGAGACATGGTTCTCGTTCAGAGAATAAAATATTTATTCTTGCGACTTTACAGTTTAGGCATCGCTGTGTCGGCGCTTCTAGCCCTTGCCCAAGTTATTATTGAAGTTCAAGCCGGCGACGGGACAACAGAAGATAGTCCCAAGAAATGCACTGAGCTGTTGTTGGGCCAGTATCCTTTCTTGATGCCTTCACCGGTGACTTATTTTAATATTGTTTATATTATACAGTTGTTAGCTATTTTCCCTTCTAAGCCACGTAGGAAAAATGTTTGCCAAAATTCTGGAACAACGAATTAGATCCGTTGTAGAACCGATCCTGAGCCCATCACAGGTCGGATTTAGGAAAGGAAGAGGGTGTACTGACGCTATTTTTGCTTTAAGACAAGTTAGCGAAAAGACAATAGAACACAGACATCAAATGAACATCGCTTTCATAGATCAAGAAAAAGCTTTCGATAGAGTAAACAGAAATTTATTATGGAAAGTTCTTGAAAACTACGGTATAAATGGAACAATTTTAGATTGTGTTAGGGCTATTTATAGACAAAGTGAAAGCGCCATTAGAACAAGAGCTGGCATCACAGACTGGTTCCCAGTAACATCAGGAGTAAGACAAGGTTGTGTATTATCACCTTTACTTTTCATAATATTTATGGACAATATTAATAAAATAGACATAACACCAACAGATGTCGATAAACAGGAGGACTTCAATAAGCTGCTCTTTGCCGACGATCAATGCATATTTCACAGTGATAGTAAACAGCTGCAAGACCACATAAACCTACTACACGACAGTTGCCTCAAGCATCATATGAAGATCAATACTGAAAAGACAGAAGTCATGAGCATAAGTAGAGAGCAACAGACCATCGACATAAAGATTCTAGATCACAGCCTAAAAAACAAGTGCAAGAATTTAAATACCTGGGAAGTATCTTTACATCCAATGGTAAAATAGACAGAGAGATTGAAGCAAGAATCCAACAAGCCAACAATGTCGCATACCAGCTTGCCCCAATTTTAAAACACCCTGCTGTCCCAGCTGAGATAAAAAGACAAATTATAAATACAATCTTTATACCGACATTAGGTTATCAATGTCAGACTTGGACATTAAGAAAAGAACATGAGAGAAGACTAACCACCTGTGAAATGAGATGTTTGAGAATGGATGCGAATAAAACCAGAAGAGATCGAGTGAGAAACGATGTGATTACAAGAACTATTGGAACCATACCCATCGTTAAATTTATTGAGAAGCAAAGAATGAAATGGTTTGGTCACCTAATGAGAATGGAACCAACGATGCCAGCATCAAGAGCATACAACATGAAAATCGAAACAACAAGAGGCAGGGGAAGACCAAGAAGAAGATGGATTGAAGGAGTCACGGACAACTTGAGACTTCATAACATCACGGCATATGAAGCGACTGAGCGCGCCCTGGCTCGGTTGCCGATCATCTGATAGACTGCGACGCCTAGCGGCACAAGCAGATTTTGACAAAAGAAGAAGAAGAAGCTATTTTCGAAAGTTTTTAATAAAAGCTAATATACAGTTATTTTGTTTTAGTTAAGATGAGTTAGAGATAGTAATTTTTACAAATTATACCATGTTATTGTTAATAGTTAATCAACTCTCGTTTGACAGCAGACCATCTTTAGACTTTAGGACGTGTTAAGTTTCGACAGTAGTACTGGTACCGAGACTTGATCGTTTAGAAAGCAGTGGCAAGCTATTGAAACTAACATTTGCATAGAGAAACTGCAACAGCCAAAAAAATGCTGATGTTGGTTATGCAGCATCCTGTAAAGCATTGGTTATCTATAATTTTTGTTATTATTATTATTATTACTATTGATATTATTTTCCACCATGTACAGTTGTTAACTACTTTTGTATGTTGTTAATATCAGTTGTTAAACAGTTATTATGTTAGAGTTTAGTTAAGTAAGATATATATTTTGCTTAACTCTGATAGTTATATGAAGTTATACATAAATTTGCTTACCGTGTGGATTCCAGGGCCCCATTGTGAGGTAACTAAGAACAGAACCACTGCATTCCTATTAAGCAAATCATAAGAATTGACTAATTGGGGGCTTCCCTCGGAGTACATCTGACTGAGAGGCAAGGAACCAACAGTCTGCATACATATAAAGTAAGATCTATAAAATGAATGTACATGCAACAATCAGGTTCTGGATCAAGACTAAAGTCTGGAGGTGGATGAACACCCAGAGCTTTCCGCTTGAGTTTACAACCAGTGAATGCGAAGAAGAAGTAGAAGGTAATTTGTATCATCCTTTGTATCTTAGTGACAGTGTCCATATGTTAGATTTTCAATGTAAATTTTTGCTAATTTATATATTTTATAATTATTTCTCTCAAATCTTTTTGCCTTTTTTTACAGCCTCTTGTGATTAAAATGATCTGTTGTATCAACAGTTCAGAGGAAATTTTTTACTTTTAGTCAGGACTATTTTCCTTACAGCATTTTAAGGTACCTCTGCTCTGACCCAGAAATTGACCCGAAGACACAGCAGGCAAGATACTGCAGTAAAGAGAAACAGGAAGTGGCTGGTATGTTTCCATAGTAATCATTGTTCCTAGCCTATCAGACACAGGTGAATGAAAAATATAAAACTGAACTAAAAGTAGATTAGTGAACTTAACAATATAACAAACACAAACGAAAAGTGAACATACAATAAATACGAGTATGGCGGGCACGTACAAACTTTGTTGATACTGTCTACATTGGCCAGGCTCTCACTTGGGAGCCGATCTCTGTGATGGACTGCGGAGAGGTGTATATAGGTTTTAACCAGCTTTGCTCCCTTCCTGGTGCACTGTTACTTATTTCTACACGATACAGAACTTCTGGGAACTTTTTAAATCTAGCTCATGCATCGTGTAGTTTGCCATTGCTTTCTAAACTCTTTGATTATTGTTTCCATGGGATATCAAAATAAAAACAACAACGAATAAATAGAGATTATTGTGCAAATCTGTCTGGGATAAAGAGAGTTAATAAACATGTTTCGGTGGGGTCTTGATATCCATCTAGACATCTGCAGGTTGGTTATTGAGGATATATTTTGGGATGTGTCTTTTCTGACAATCCTCAAAGATTCTTTACAGTAAGTACTTTCATATACTATGGTTAAGCTCATGTTTATCCTGTTCTTCATTCAAGTAGTACATAATTCCACATTTCTGACTTATCACCAGCTTGTACCTAGGCAGATGACTTAGGCATTGCCCACCTACAGATCTTGTGGGAGAACATGTACAATTCAGAGTAATTTATAGTAATTTCCACTGGTCTTTGGGTAGTGAGATTGGATGCCTGTGTGTATTGTTGCACATTTTACAAATCCCTTGGCAGTTGGACATTGAAAAAAATAGCCTACTTGCGCTGCCTGGGCAAAATTTGGAGTTGAAAATCTTCATAAAATATTTTAGGATCCTCGCCGGTGCTACGAAGCCCGTGCACTGCGCTTAGCTACTTTGGACTCAGACTTGAGTTAGAAGTAAAACAGAGCACTTATGGGTTACTAACCGTGTGCCATGATGTTGATCCAATGTTCAAACATTCAAACCTCAAACATAGTGTTTAATTATTACTCTGTGTTATTATTAAATGGTGTTTAATTATTACTTTGTTTTATTATCATGTAGTGTTTCGCTTCAAGGATGTAATGCTATGGTGTGAATTACTGCTTTGTTATATTTCAGTATAATGTAAATTACTACTTTGTTATCTTTGTTATATTACGCTACAGTATAAATTACTACCTTGTTGTATTATGCTGTGGTGTAAATTACTACTTTGTTACATTCCACTATGGTGTAAATTACTACCTTGTTATATTGCGGTATAATGTTAACTACCATTTTGTTATATTACACTATTGTATAAATTACTACTTTGTTACATTATGCTATGATGTAAAATACTACTCTGTTACATTCCAGTGTTGTGTAAATTAGCACTAAGTTATACACTGTTGTGTAAATTACTACTTTCTTATGTTATGCTATGGTGTAAAATACTACTTTGTTACATTATGCTATGGTGTAAAATACTACTTTGTTACATTATGCTATGGTGTAAAATACTACTTTGTTACATTATGCTATGGTGTAAAATACTACTTTGTTACATTCCAGTGTTGTGTAAATTAGCACCAGGCATAGGAGAGTGTGAGGGCCTGTTTCCTAATGGAACATTTCAACGTACTGTGCCTTGCAAGTGGACGTAAGTACTTTGCAAACAAATGTATTTAGGAGTATGTTCAGCTTTCTTTCTTTCTTTCAGATTATACTTCTGTGTGTGTATATTCATGGAGGTATAATCCCTGGACACATCTGGCAGTGTTGTGGACTGTTAGTGTTGGCACATCTGGCTACCATTGAATTTGCATCCACAAGATCCCTTCAGCAGACTTAACAGAAAGCAACATACACAAGTTTTCCATCTACAAACAGGACACTGCAGGCTTAACTACCACATGCATAAAATAAAGATTGTACAGTCCCCACAGTGTGCCGGTCAATTCGGACCACAAACACCTGAGCACATTCTGCAGACCTGCTCACTCTACCTACAACTTTGAAAAGACACCTGGCCTCAAGAGCAAAGTGTGCAGAGCAAGCTATGGGGAACCATGAAGAAACTGCTACTGACATGCGAGTTCATAGAGGCAACCCAACCTGTTGGTCTGATCTGAGCATACGAAACCGAACGCAAAGAAGGAGAAGAAGTAGAGAATTTGCCTGTGTACACCTTGCACACACAGGACTGGTCCTGACAGTAAATTTTGCTTTCATTATGACTTCCTTGGAAGTTGAACCGGTATCTGGGCTAGCTGTGTTTGTCTGCCACAAGCATTGAGTATTTTTTAAAGTCTTACAGTGTCATACCTTCAGGTCCTGTTGGTTTGCCATCCAGATTGAGATTTTAGGATCACATGATGTCAGACATAGCTGTTTACCGCTCTGCTTATGTGCCGGTCTAGACCTACGGATGTGATTCATGGGTGATGACAACAGCGCACAGAAACCAGCTTTAGGCCCCAGAAATGAGATATCTGAGAAAGGTGGTCCAAGTGACAAGAAGGGACAAAGTTCGCTAGTAGTCAGTAAGTCAAGATCTTGAAACCCCGGCCTTACAAACTCGAGTGGATTAGTCAGTTACGGTGGTTTGGACATGTATGCAGAATGGGAGAGGATCAGCCGCCTTGGCAGGCATGGGAGTCCAATAACCAGACCACCAGGGTGACCCAGGGTGCGCTGGGAAGACAATGTCCGACAGTCCCTAACTGACAGAGGACTGATATGGAACAAAGCCAGAAAGAAAACTGCTGATAGAGACGTCTGGCGATCTCTCTGGTAAACCTGCATCCTAAGGCTGAAGGGTAGCGACTAAGAGAAGAGATGATGTCAAACTTATCAAGTAGCAGCCCAAAGGAGTGGAGTAGATGAACTTTAACTAGGCTTGTTAAGCAACCTCCCCTTTCCCACAATGCATTCCTGGTTATAGCGCCACTCAGGACTATAGAACAGTTGTGGTGTTGTGATTGGTGAAGCTTGATGGTGACCACATACCCTTCAAAGGCTGATTGGTCTATATAAGTGTATGTCCAGTGTGCCAGCGGCTTGAAAAGAGTCCTTTAATGGTAGGCAGGAGTGCAGAGAAAACAATAGATCAAATGGTTTAGACCTGTGTCAAGACTGTCACTAGACTGCTCCACAGAGAGCTCGGTCACTTAGACATAATGGAAGCAGATCCAGAGGTTAACCACACAAGCAATGGATAGACGGATAGCACATACCAAGGTTTTTACCTGATGCCTCTTCAAAACATGACACTGAAAGACAATACAGGAGAAGAGAAAAAGAAGAAGAAAGAGTGCTAACTGCTGCACAGCCATGGCAAGTTTTTGTGGTGTGTAAAGATATTTTTTCTGCCAATTCAGCAATAAATAAACAACTACTATTTTGTCTTGTTTCGTTATGCTGTACAGTAATACATTTGCTATGTTGCTTTAGACAACTTATCATTGGTTTCAACAGTGGTATTGAGATGTGACTGTTGAATAACAGTGGCCGACTGCTACTGAACATAAAATTGCCTAGTAAAGTCACTAGCAGCCGAAAAAGCTGGGGCTGGTTCTGCAGCGCCCAGTAAAGGACGCACAACTAACTTTTCTTTTCTTCATGTTGCTTAGTTTAGTTATAAATTTGTATATTTAGTCATGACAAACTACAAGTGTTTTACTTTTGTTGTGATGATTGTATCTGCATTTGGGAGGAGGGGGAGGGGTATACTAGCATTGTCATGTCTGGTTAATTTCAAATTCAAATTCTCTTTCGTTGACCACTTTCAGCTAGGTCCGCTCACATTTCTGCTTACTTTCCTTTCAGCTATATGTGTGGTGACGTTTTCTGGTCTCGATCTCATTTGGTTTTGGATTGTGTTCAATATTTGTCGCTTTCTATTTGTTGTGGTTTCCGCTCTTGCTGTTGCTTTTGTAATTTGGCTGGCCCTGTGCTGCGCTCCAGATGATTGGGTGTTGAATCGATTTATTGTGGTATTCCTTGGCTGTTTGTTGTTTCCGGGGAAAGTAAATTGCCTATCCTAAAAAGGACCGGCGGTTGATCGACTTGGGCAGGTACTGATGGCAATACTGGTGAGGTCTGGTATTATTTGGGGATTTTCTCGTATTCTTGTTGTAAAGTACTTCTCCTACATAGGGTTTCGGTAATTTTGGCCTTGGTTGTGTCGTATTAGTGTTTGAGGTAACGGTGTCGACCTCGTTTGACTTCAGGTTTTGGCTGTCGATATGGTTCCTCTGGTGATGACCATAGAACATCATCATCATGCAGTTCTGAGTTAAAGAAGTTCGGGTCCTCCAGCTCCCTGATGCGTTGGTTTATTTGGTTAGTAGTTTCTACCGGAAACTGTTTCATCAGCGGCGTTGGGGTTTTCTTATCTGGTGTTTGATGTGGCTTTTTCTGGGTCTCGGCTCCCTGTATTTGCTGCCTTCTTGTTGCCTCTTTCCGTGCTTTCTCTCTTTCTTCCATCACTCTGTTGGTTGCTTGCAGTTCCTTATTAAGTCTGTTGTTTTCTTCGTATGCTCTACGTAACTTTTCCTCTGTTTCAGCTAGTGCCTTCTTGATCATTGCGACTTCTTTCGCGAGCAGTTGTTGGTTATCCCGCAGATCATTGATGCCCGCCTCGTCTTCCCTTGCTTTAGTTGGTTGTTCCTTTTGTGTCTGGATAGTGGCCAATGCATTCATGATGTCCTCCTTGAATTTCGTCATTTCTGCTGTCATCCGTTTCTGGGTGTCAAGCGTCGCCTGCATTATAGCTCTCAAGCCTGTTATTTCATCTCTGTCTTCATCTCGTTGGGATTTGGATGCTTCTTTCTCGTCTCTGAGAGCTTGGATGTCACTTTTGAGTTCAGCCACCTCGTTGCTCAATTTGGTGGTAATGGCTGCAGTTATGCCTTGGGTTGCTTCGTGTCTTCTGCGGGCCTCATGGTATGGAATCTTTTCCCATATGGCCGTGGTTGCTATTTCTCTGCATTGTTGCAGATAGGGGCACCCTAGGTATCTTGTGCTGTGCTGGCCGTAGCAGTTTGCGCACTTCCTGTTCGGATTGGGAGACCTAAAGTCTGTGTCCAGCTTTGCCAGCGGGCAATTGTTGAAGGCATGGGATTGTGAACAGTATCGGCATACTTCATGTTCGCTCACACAAGTGGCCCGGGAGTGCCATGCTTTTTGACAACGAGAGCACTGGATCACCTGTGGCACGTATTGCTCTGGTCTTTGCATTCTTTGATTTAGGTAGACTTTATCCGGGATTTGTTCTCCTTCCGATGTTATCACCGCCACTGGCAATGGATGCCGTTTTGAGCCCAGTCTCTCTGCTTGGTTGATGTTGACATTGGGGTTTTCTTTCCTTATTTGTTGCAGAATTTCTTCGTTGCTCCATTGCAGGTTGACTCTTCGGATCACCCAGCGTCTTACATTCTGGAAGATTGTAGCCGTCACAGTTATCTCCTCAGATAGTCGGAGTTCTTTCTTGCCTTTGTGTTGGATGTCATCCAGCATGTCTGAGGTGCGGTTGGTTCTGTTTAGTGAAGCTATCACTCCTTCTCGAGTTCTTCTAATCTTTGCGACTGCCCTCTTGCCTAATATGATCTCCAGCATATTGATCAATGTTAGAGTTGCCAGTGTAGTGATTGCTGTCCGGCCCGAGCTGGTCTGTCGTAGAAATATTGTGGCAGGAAATTCATAGCTGCCTGTCTTTTGTCGATCTGGAGATGTTTGTGGAGTTGGCTGTGTTGGTTCAGGTGACGCTGGAACGTCACTCAGGGCCTCACTGGTAGTCGGGGCGTCTTCCTGTGATCCGGTAGTAACTGTCTGCGTCCTCCTGGCCGCCGAGTTAGAATGGGTAGATCGGTCAGTGGGTTGTTTCCTCTGTCCGTTGCCCTTTCCGTTAGGTTTGTTTCTCCGAGACATGGTGCTTGCGGAGAAGGCCTCTCGCTCTGGCAAATGCTTTGTTTCTGATGCTGCCTATCCTTACCAAGGACTAGCAGATATAGTATTGTGTTATGTAGGTTTCAATCCTATCTGATGACAATTGCGGAGAAGTCCTCTCGCTCTGCCTATCCTCAAAGGGACTAGCATGTACTGTATTGTGCAGGTATCAATACTATCTGATGATTCGCTGATATGGTGGAGCCGATGCCCATGCCTTTGTCATGTCTAGTTATAAAAGTATGCATTTATATACAAGTTTGGTGCCTTCTCCACACTGAAGGTTGGCTACAGTGTATCACTGTTCTCTTAGAGAATATTTACGTGGTGAGGCCTCTGTTTCTTCCAAGGTGTGACTCTCATACCATTGTCAGAAATCCATGAGAACAGATTTTTACCCTTCCACTACAAGTAATTTGTGTTACTTTATTTTTAATGTTGAATTTCATACATTTTTGTACAAATTTATAATTTTCTCTTTTTTTTTTTACGTGATCATTGACTGACTTTGTAATAGTTTTCACATTTTTAGTACATGATTATTGCATGACTTTATAATAGTTTTCTTCACTTTTTTCCCACAATTATTGTAGAACTTTATGATAGTTTTCTCCATTTTTGTGTACACAGTTATTGTATAATAGTTTTTTTTTTTTAAATAATAGTTTTCTTTGTATATCTTTACATAATAATCATATGACCTCATACAAGTTTTTCTATTTTTATTTACAGAAATGGACATTCCTTTGAAACAGCTTTGCTTCTATCTGTATTTCTGGGCATGTTTGGTGTAGACAGGTTTTATCTCGGCTACCCAGCAATAGGTAAGGTTTAATCTTTTATAGAATGTTACAGTGGAGGGCGACGGGTGGCCGATGAAACATTAGAGACAGAATTAATTAACGGGTTAGTTTGCTTATTTAGATAGAAATCTTGATAGTCAAGGAAGCAGAAATAAAGAAATTATGACACACATTGGTAAGGCACCAGCAGCTTTTCAGAGCTTGGACAAAATATCATCATCATCATCATGTGCCCTGCCAACTGGCGTAGGTGCTCATTCGTCTCCATAGATCACGATACCTGGTTGCCTGGAACAGCTTTTTTGATGATATCCCTTCGTGCCATCGTTTCAGCCCATCCAGCATCATCTCTCTTGGTCTGCCTCTACCTCTTTTTCCACTGATCTTTCCAGTTGTCACGATGATCTCCAATATCTCCCTTCTCCTTATGTGGCCAAAGAACAGTGTGTCTCTTTCTTATTGTTGTATATAGAGATCTACTTTCATTAACTTTTTTCAAGCAATGCACAAAATATGGAACTCTAAATTATATAGTTTAAGAACCAAGTTGCATATTTTCGGCTCTAATATTATTTCAGTTTTAACATATGCCAGTGCCAGATGGAGAACGACTGAAGATGTGGAATGAGGAAAATGAAGAACATAAAATGGGATGAATGAAAGAGTGAAGAATTAAGAGAAATGTGGAGGGCAACCACTCCTGTCAACAGTTATAAGACAAAAGAAGGGTTATACTGGACATTGAGTTAAGTTGAGTCAATAATTGACATCACAGCACTCGGGGCATTCCCATGTGTGCTCCGTCCTGATCTTCAGCAGCCATCGCAGAATTCCAATACTGAAGTGACCAGTTGTAATCTGGTTATATGTCTGTCTTGCCTTTTCTCTGAGTATAGTGAGAAGGCCAGACCCTCTAGTTACACCAGGTGCCTCATTCTCAATATATATATGTGTATGTATATATATACATATACACATACACACACACACATATATACATATATATATATATATATATATATATATATATATATATATATATATATATATATATATATATATATATATATATATATATATATATATATATATATATATATATATATATATACACACATACAATATACACACATACAACCACACACATATATACACACACATATGTATGTATATATATATATATATATATATATATGTGTGTGTATGTGTATGTATTTATTTATATACTGTATATATTTTATACTGAACAAACAGAAAATCACCAAACAGGCACTGAAAAAAGAAATAGATCGATGGAGGAACTGAGGACATTTAAGAGAAACCCTAAGGCACAACAATGATGAGAGAGGCCAAAGGTGCTGGCCTGGATTCCATTCCTGATATCGTGGTGATTGCACAGAATAAGTTGGAATGTAGTAATAGACTGCGAGCCCTAGGTAACATGAGGTTTGAGGTTTGAACAACAGATCAACATCATGGCACACGGGTAGTAACCCATAAGTGCTCCGCTTTTCTTTTCACTGAAGTCTGAATCTGAAGAAGCTCAGCACAGTGCACAGGCTCTGTAGCACTAGCGAGGATCCTGAAATACTTTGGGTAGATTTTTAACTCCAAATTTTGCCTGGGCAGCGCCGTTAGGCTACTCTTTTCGAATTTCCAACTGCCAAAGGATTTTTACATGCGCAACAATGCGCACGGCCGCCCAATCTCACTACCCAGAGACCAGGGGGGATTACTAGAAGTCCAGTCCAATTCTACATGAAAAAATTCCAACCCTGACTGGGGATTGAACCCAGAACTCCCAGCAATCGAGGCGGACACCATACCTTGAGACCGCCCCCACTAGGTAACATAAAATGGCACAATAAGGGAATCGTGACAGTGAATGATGGGTGGCTGACCGAGTGGTCAGAGGTGCTGGGCTGTCTGTAGAGACACAGGTTTGAATCCTCTCTATGGAAGTAGGTTTTTTCCTGAGGGGGGCAAAAATTAAAATCCAAACCTACCCAGAGCGGGGTGACTGCACCACCAGCCATGTGGCCTGAATCTGCAGGTTCAAAACCTCTCTGTCAAACGCTGCCCTAATAAATGGACCATGCAGTCAGTTAATATATATTTTTTTTTTTTGGTTAAGCAACGGATGGCATGCTTGTTTGTTGACATGTAGTTTGTGTGTTTCAGTCCTCTTTGAGGTGGGAATTTAAAAAAAACAACAACCACCTACAAAATAAAAGTTATTGCTATATTTCAAACAAGATACAAACAATTTATTGCCTTGCATATTTTGCGGTATCTTGTGACCTTTGCAGTTACCATAGTACTGCAGGGAAAAAAAGCTGGAGGCGCGACAATTCTTGGCTATCAAAACTGGGTTTTAAAAAAATTTCTATGTTCTTTAGCAGCGGCTTCGCCCATGAGAGAAAGAAAGTACTCACAAGGAGCTTTTCTAGATGTTACCGTTTAGCGTCCATTTATAATTGTCTCTGTATTCTTCTATACAATTTGCCTGTCATATTTAGATTATTCAATTATTTGTTTTTTATTCTCAGAAGCAGTTTGGTCACAAAAATTTGCATTTGCTGATAATTTTTTTTCCGCAGGTCTCCTAAAATTTGCCACTTTGGGCTTCATGTTTCTGGGACAACTCGTCGACATATTACTGATAGCCACTCAGGTACTTTTTAAAGAGTTAGTTAAACAGTTTTTAAACAATTTCAGTGCTTTATTAATATCCTACCACAAACATGGTAAATCCACAGGTCGAGGGGACAGTCTGATATTTCAGGGGGTGGTAGATAGGCTGCATGCAGTTGTGGGACCTAGGCTGCATGAATTTCTGGGACCTAGGCTGCACTCTCTCGTGGGACAAATTTGGGTTGGAGTTAGGGCCAGTTTGAGGTGTTTTGGGGCCGTTAAAAGCATCAGAAAGCTGGGAAACCCAGTCTTACCACCCTCTAAAATGTTGGACTGTCCTGTAACATGATCTGGGGATATCAATCAAGAATCTAATTTTTGTGGGTAATTTATTTCAACACAGGTAGCATTGCTGGTAGATTTATTGTGAAGCCATTGTGGTACTGTCGTTAAGATGACTAATTAAAAGTTTCCTGAAATTATGTGTGTGTGCAAATTGGGTCGAAAGGTGCAGATATCACAGCCTAGCTGTAAACCACATCATAATGTGCCAGCCACCTTTTTAAGGGTGATCACAGAAGAAGAAAAGATAGACATATTGAAGCAATCCTAAAATTTGAAGAAATGTTATAGAAAAAAGTCAGTTTCAATTCCTGCACCTATTTCACTATGGATCTTATGAACATCCGAGACCCTCAACAGGTGGCAATGAATCACTAGACATGGAGAGCTATGACCTCTGCCCTATGCGCCGCTTTAGGCTCAAGATGAAAAACCGGCTTACTTAACTAATTAAGTTAAACTAACTAAACTAATCTAAACTAAGCTAAACTAACTGACTGACTAACTACCTAACTTACCCATTTCAGTACATAAGTCTCTAATTCCAGCCGTTTTGCAACTTTTCCACATTGAATACACTTTCCATAGTTCCTTTTACATTAAAAAAACCAACATTTTCCTGAGACAGCCAAAGCCTTATGCATTTTTTCCTGTCGGTGGAAGTCTAGAATACCTTCTGCTGTCCTATTGCTGTGTTCTTCAGCATATTTTGTCACCCTGAGTTATAATTTGCAGTTTTGGAATACCGCTTACTGTCGTTTTCCATATTGTGGGCCACTCTAACAAATAATGGTACATGTAGAACTTGCTTTGTTGCATGAAACACAGCCTAACTGTAAAGCCTGTTTTGGGAACAAAAGAAGTGTTTCTTATTCTTCTTAAAGTCCATGCGCTGTGTGGTGTTAGGAGTCATGTCTATCTACAACCTTCTGTCTCGTGTACTTTCAGTTGACTCTGACACAGATAATCCTCCATGCTGTGATGTCAAACTGTTCCTTATCTTTTCTCTCAGTCTCCCTCTGCCTCTCTTCCCCCCCCCCCCCCCCCTTTTCAACTTTCCCACTGTCAGGATATACTCCAGCTTTCTCCTTCTCATTGCATGACCAAAGAATGTAGATTGTCCTTATCTGTGGGCTTCAGTTATTTTCTTAACATATTTTTCATTTTGTAAAATGCAGCATGTCTTATATACCAAAAAATAGGATACCCCTGTTTTGCCAGTCCCCGTGTGTGAAAAAAGTTAATGAACACTGTGCTTGTAACTTCCTGTACTGTTTTTAAAAAGTGTAATGGCCAGTTATGGATCTTTGAAAGTGCTCACTTACTGATGTTTTTTTTTGTTATTGAAAATAGAAACTGCTTCAACAATCACCGACGATGATTTATATCACAATATTTGTTTTCTTTATTCAGGTACTAACCCCATCAGATGGTTCCGCGTATGTGGTCGACTATTACGGTGCAGCCAGTGAGAGAATCATCAAAGACAATGAGACATATCTTGTACCTGGGTACTGACAACATTCCTGTCTCATTAGGAATTGTTCGGCCTTATAGTGGATGAGCACACTTGATTGTCAAAGTTTCAGAGGTTTCAATCAGTTAGTCCTGCAGGAAGTTCTTATATTCTGCCATAACACCGAGAGCCCTCTTTCACGTCTGCTACGGTCAGGGTAATGTACAAACTGGGCGAGAGGTGAGAAATTTGAATAAAGATGTGTTGGAGCTGTAAGGTACAGTAAAAGGTAGAAGGGCTTGCCGGAGAGTGTTGCGAGGAGACAATTCTTCCTTAGAAATAAAAGGTATAATAGAAGAGATTTAAGTTATATGTTAATTATGATAATTGTTATGTGCACATGTGAAAAATATGAGAAGATTTAAGTTATATGGTAATTATGATAATTGTTATGTGCACAAGTGAAAAATGTGAGAAGATTTAAGTTATATGTTAAGTTTCAGATGTGTTATGTGCACAAGTGAAAAATGTGAGAAGATTTAAGTTATATGTTAAGTTTCCGATGTGTTATGTGTACGAGTAAAAAATGTGAGATTTAAGTTGAAATTGTATGTTAAGTATGAGAAATGTTGTTTGCACAGTGGCAAAATTTGAGAAGATTAAAGTTTCATATTAAGTATGTGCATTGTTACGTGCACAAGTGAAACATTAATATTTTACATCTGATCAGTAATAAATAGAATTCCTGTGTTGCTTCTGGGACCTGATTAAAAAAGAATAGACCAGTTGCCCTTAACTTTTTTGCCCTGTTAAAAAAAAGATCTTTTAAAAAAGTTTGTTTAAGAAGATTTGCATCTTTATAGTTCTCTGAAATTCTGAGCCTTGAGCAGTTTTTATAAACATCTAGGAGATCTAATCCTCGTTTATGACCTGTTGTGGACTTCTTATATTGGTTGGTCCCATTAAGTTTCCATACTGTCTTCTAAACATCCTCGGCAAAAACTAAGGATGTCACCAGTACTGCGTTGTACAACACTGATCTTGATGTTTTACAGTTTTAAATGTCTTCAATGCTAAAATTAATATCAGCGATAGCAAATTTTGTGGATTCCAGGGCCCCATTGTGGGGAAAATAAGGAAAGACCCACTGCCTTCCCCACAAGCATGTTATAAGAGTCGACTAACTGGAGCTTTCTTTGAAGTCGCAGTGCATTTGCCTGAGAGACAAGAAACCAAGTCTGCATACAGATAAGTCAGACATGTAAAACAGATGTGCATGCAAAACTCAGGTTCTGGAACACGACTAAACTCTGGAAATGGACAAACAACCAGAGTTTTTTAGTTGAAGTTTATAGCCGGTGAACACGAAGGAGAAAACATTTTGAAATACGTTAGATCCGAAAATGTAACATCTCTTCATTTTTTATCTTGAGGATCTTACAGATGTGTTTTTGAAATAGAAATAGGTTGTCACTGAATGTAAATGCCACTTTACAGGGCAATGTGGGGAAATAAGTGGGGGGGGGGGGGGGGGGTGCTGCAATGCCTGCCTGTTTGGCCAGTGTTTTCTGATGTTATAGTCATATCATGAACGGCTATCCCATTCACAGAGAAAGCAGTGGTACTTGGTATATATATCCACAGTGTATTCCAAGCAAAAGAGTGATTACTTTTAAATCACTGCAAAGTGACCAATGATGATGATTGTAGTTTATACATGTTGTGTGCTAATTGAGTTACCACTAGTCAGCACACTACCAGGTTTCTAGCAGGTACCCTTCAGCTTCGTCTCTTAGAAACAGAACTCGACGACGATGACACCGTCATACATTTTTATTTAACAGGATACGGGACACAAATGCATAGACGTAGTTATTGATCACAGTTGACATTCGCACATCATCTATTTGTCCTCACTCGCTCTCTCTCTCTCGCTCAATTTGTAGCACCCTCTCCTTGACTACTACAGCTCCAAGGACTACAGCGTTTCACATTCTGGACGCAACGTACAGCTGAACAGGAGGAATTCTCCCATTCACTGGACCTTGATATTATTTCAGCATACAACACGGCTGACTGGAGATGGACTTCCCTTGGCGTACTCCGAAAACACACAGCTGTCGTCAGCTTGTCGCAGGGCTCTGATGACCGACAGGACTTCTACCATAAGTCCCCTATAGCACACAGCTCTCGTCGGTACCACTCCCCCTGTCCTGTTTCAGTAGTGGTCCTCCTACGTTTTGACTACATCGCCACCCAGAACAGTTACTACTGGAGCCTTCCGTCCCCTGGACTTACTTTGCCAGCGGGACCATATCTTCGTTCAGTACCGCAACATCGACACTCACTCAGACCTCACTGCCTGATGCCTGACTTGGTCTCTGACTCTCGCTTTCTCTCTCTCTATCTCTCTTCTCGCTTCTCTCTCGACTGCTTCTCGATTGCCTCAGCCCTCTAATTTATCCCCTCTCAAATCCGTGTAGGTGGATGATGATTACACGAGAGGCACGCTTGTATGAGCTTTCTCGTGACTCATGATCTCGTGGGTGTTCTCGGGACTCACGCTCATGTGGGCGTTCTCGAGGATCACACTTATGTGGGTGACTGATGTTACCTGAGAATCACGCTGTCACTGAATTCACACTTTCTCTGTTTATCTCGTTAGCCATGCTTTCAGCCTCCACACAGTAACCCACGCGTCCACTTTCTCTTGTGCACGCCTTGTTCATGAATAGACGTTTTCACTGGTCTCCTCTCAATACTCGGACCATGTTGACACTATTCCCCCGTGAACTTACAGAAAGTACTTGCATACCACTGTCCCTTCACACAATATTACACTTTACCCCAATCAGCGCGCAACAATACACTTCTAAAGTTGCTTAATGTTTTCATAAGTTTCTTTCATGGGAACCGCATGACCACCTGGAATTGACGGTAATACATTACCATTATTCAACAAAACAGCTTCAAGACTTGTCTTGGATGAAGCAATGAAAAGCCTCCACTCTTCTAGTTTGTAATTGATCATTGAGGGTTGCCATTTGTCCAGAAATGTTGGGGCATGCAGAAAAGTCACCTTCTTTGAAAAAAAATATATCATCATCATCATCATCATCATAAACTACTTCTGCCGTTAAGCGTCGTGGGGAGGAATAATTTGCGATCCATTGCACGTTGGCTGCCACTGGCTGTTCTCATGCCGTGAAGGCGTAGATTGTCTTTAATGTTGTCGATCCATGTTTTCCGTGGCCGTCCTCTTGCTCTTGTAGTTGATCTTTTGAGATGTAGTGCTTGTGATGGTATTTGATCTTGCTGCATTCTAACGAGATGGCCAAACCACTTGATCTGCTGTTTCTCGATGAATCTAGGACAAGGTGTCGTTCCCACAATTTGCCTGATAGTTTCATTATTCACTCAATCTCGTATGGTTAGGTTGGCTGCTTTTCTCAGGCACTTCATCTCACAGGTGGTAATTTTGCGTATATGGGCTTTAGATAGTGTCCATGTTTGGCACTGGTAGCTTAATGTTGGAATGAATATGCTATTAATAATCTGTCTCTTTGCGCTTATAGTTATGCTTGGATGTCTTAATAATATATATATGTGTATATATTCAGCGACTTCTGTCAGTTCCTATACACAGAAGTTATAGAATTTTCTGCCTGAAGTTGCAATCTGGAACCCAGAAGCTCTGCTTTGTTCTTCAGCAAATTAAAATTTATTACAAGATCATTCAGTTTACTTTGGGTTATTAAATGTGGTTTAGGGGATGTAGTTTGCTCAAAATCTGGGTCAGTTGAGGTGAGTGGTTCAAGGCCACCAATGTACTCTTCTTCTTCAGTAGAAGCAGTTGCAAATAATTATGGCACTTTGGGTACAGGTAGGTCATCGCCATGTGGTACCGGACATATTGCAGAAGGGATGTTAGGATACTCCAGAGTCTATTTCTTCTTCTTTCCCATTTGGAGGGACCATGTAAAGGTAAGTTGTGGAGATGATCAGTGGGCTGTCTCCAAATCATTGGGATTGCCAAAGACATTGCTTGCCTTTTGCCAGTCAACCACAGTTTGACATTTGCTGCACATGAATTTCAACATATGTGGGGCCCAACTCTTGTCTTGATCTCCTATTCTGCAGCCAAAATACAAACTGTATGCCTTTTTAATCGCTTTAGTTATATTTCACTTTTGTGAGAGAAATTTCATCTCACCACAAACATAACAGAAGTTATCAACGCTGTGCATACACGCCCTAGGCATTTCTAATTATGATAGTATTAATAAAGACAAAGACATGGCTAATAATGTCACAATTGTGTCAGAGAAAAATATTTATACACAAAGGTAGGTATAAACATAGGTAGGACAGCATCAACTTCTGGTTTCAGTTTTTTTGGGTCCTTGGAAAAACAAAATTATCTTGAAAACTAGAGCCAGTCAACATTCTTTAATGGCATTTTAATTTACAAGCAACAGAATCAGTAGAGAAAAAAAGATTAATATGGCCTGGAGAGAAATGAGGCACCTGGGTCTGGCTGGCTGACTACACTCAGAGGAAAGGTAAAGTTAGTTGTGTATCCTTTACAGGACGTTGCAGAACCAACCCCAACATCCCCTGGCTGTTGTGTGGTTTTTCTAGGCAAATTTACGTCCAGTAGTTTGCCATTGCTTACTGGACGGTCGGCTTTCTTGATACCACTGTCGAAACCAACGCAAGGCGCATGGCCCGCAGCTGGGATCGAACCCGGCATCCCGGCATTACGAAGCATTCGCATCGACTTAGCCACAGAGCCGACGGAAAGGCAAAATGGACTTTTAACCAGATTGTGACCGGTACCATCAGTATTGGCACTCTGGCTGCTGAAGATGAGGACTGAGCATGTATGGGAATCCCCCCCGAGTGCTGTGATGTAATTCTTGACTCAACTTAACACATTTTCGTTTTCAGCACACCAGAATTAGTTCAGATCAGCTACTTTCATTTCTGGTGCATTGTGGTTGTTGACAAGTGTTACTACCAGACAGTGGTGTGTTTATTGTAATTTCTATCACACTTGTAGGGTTTTCATTTGAAGCTGCCTCAGTACCACCTTTTCTATGTAATACGTGTCCAATGCTGGTTTTCTTGTTGCTGTCACACACTGTATATTTGTCACAAATTGAGATGTGTGATATAACATGGTGCATGCTTCTGTGTTTTTTGACATATCAGGAAGTAATATTGTTTGTATAAACATTGACCAGATACCATAATGAAAAGTGTTTGTTAATTTCACATCTTGTTTAATTGTTTTTGTTACTTTAATGATTTTTTCCAGGGTGTAAAAGGGGGGGGGGGGGGAAGTTAACTAACTTAAACTCAGTGTTCCATCCAAGCAGTTAACATCAATGAGAGACAGAGACAGATAGAGAGAAGGAGAGAGACACAGAGATGGCAGCACAGAAATAGAGATACAGGAAGAGAGAAGGATGTATAGCCAGACAGGTATAAGAGAGAGAGAGTAAACAGTCACTCTTTAAAAATAGAACAGAGATAGAGATACAGGAAGAGAGAAGGATGTATAGCCAGACAGGTATAAGAGAGAGAGAGAGAGAGAAAACATTCACTCTTTAAAAATAATGTAATAATAATAATAAACAAACTAGCGTTACAGTGTTTGAATAATTAGCTTTATTTGTCCCATTTCTCCATTAGATACTAGAATTAGTAATGAGATTTCCCGTCTTGGATATGTAATATTTCCCCAGCTGCCCACAAAGCCAGTAAAATGGATGTACAGGCAAAACTCAGGCCCTGGCACAAAGCCAATGCCCAAAATGGACGAAAATGTTAACAAAGAAGAAGAAGGAAGAGGATATGTAATATTACGATTGCAGATACAAAATATAATTCAACATATTAGGAATGGCCACAAATAATATCAACAACCCAATTAATGAACAATTAAAGAGATAAATAAGATATTTAAGATGAGGATTGTCGGATGGTGTGCATACTCAACATGACCTTGTTTGGTGCAGAAACCTGGACAATAAATAAGTAATTAGAAAATCCAGTCGAAGCTCATGGGATGTGGAAATACACAAGATTAAAATAGGTATTTCAGGAAAAGCTCCAAAAATTAATATTAAAAAAAAAAAAAAATACCGAAGCTTTGGAGAGACAAAATTAAATAATTCAAAGAGATTAAAAATGAGACAAATTAAATATTTAAAAAAAAAATAAATAGAGGGGAAATTTTTGTTGCAGACACAAAATAATTAGTCATAAACAACCCTGAAAATACACTCGAAAAAATCTTTAAAATTACATGTATATGGCTGTGGCGTAGTGCTAAAGGGATACTACACTACACATGCATATCCGGGGCCGCTTTCAACATCATCATCATACTAATACACCTCTACTCAAACCATTTAACGTATTTACCCAAGAATAAGGCGCCTCCATGCATAAAATAATCTTGATTTTAGGACCAAAATTTAAAAAAATATTTTATTCACCATAGTTCCAGAGGAACCCTCATCAAAGTAAAAACTCTTATCCATATGAGAGTTCATTAGCTTGTCCTCATCTGTGTCTGTCGATGAATCACTGTCTCCATACAATGCCTCATCCTCAGTTCCATCTGTGGCATTTGAAATGCTCTGTGGCTAAGTCGATGCGAACGCTTCGTAATGCCGGGATGCTGGGTTCGTTCCCAGCTGCGGGCAATACGCCTTGCGTTGGTTTCAAATGCCACACTTCTTGAATGACTTGACAACGGTCTTAATCTTCATATTATCTCAGGATTCGATCAGCCAAGTGCAAACTTCTATACACTTGTAGTGAGTTTTTATCTGGCCACTGAACCGGTGTGCACAAATGAGGTCCTGTAGGAATATTTTTAAAAAATCATTTGGTAAATATCGGTTCTTTCCCAATAGCTGACCACATATGACATCACGGGACAGTCCAATATTTTCTAAGGTGGTAGGCCTGGTTTCCCAACTCTACTGTCTGTTTTTTTTTTTTCCCGACTTTCTGTATGTCTACCAAACTAAATATCTACTTCAAGTATCATTGTATAAGACGCACACTGTTTTTTAGACCCTATATTTTTTTTTTTAAATAAACGTGTCTTATGCTTAGGGAAATACGGTATGTAAATTACCAATCACGAACAGTTCTTAGCTGTGCACATTGGCCCAACTGTTGTACAACGACACGTATTACATTCGACATGAAATAACTGCCCCGGCTGAAACCCCTCACAATCTGCCACTCCATTGGGCACGGTTCCTTCCCGTTTATCCCAAGTTTTCCTGTCTTTTTCTTCACCAGAAGTTTCTCCCACCAATTTATCTGCACGTTTATTCCATACATTTCCCCTCGCCTCTCCCGTCAGTTCACTTTCCTCGTCAGACACGTCGTCGCGCTTAACGACTTTAAAGTTTATGTCCGAGTCCTTGATGCTAAACGGCGGACGACAAGATGGCGACCGGCGGCAGAAGGCAAGTCCGCTGCTGTGGCAGGTACAAACTGTACACGAATCGGTGTTTTCCCAAATAGAACCTTTGAAAAAGAGATCGTATAAGGAAAAATCAGCAACATTATGAATGCTTTAAGGACATTTAACCCGTTAACATCATTTTAGCACAAAGTACGGACACAATATACAGTCAAAATCTGTGGTTTATGAGTTGTGAATGGTGTTTCATATTTCTGGCATACTTTAAAAAAAATCCAGCTGCAAATAATTTGGTAACAGACCGCTTTGGTAACTGACTACTCCCGGCTGCCCCATCCTCATTGTTTACCTGCTCCCAAAGCGCCTTGACAACATTTAGCTTGTTAGCACCATCCAATCTGTATGCAAATGATCACGAGCAGTTGTAGGCTGTAGAAATGGGTCCACTTGTTGTACACTCGAACATTCATGGGCAGTTGTTATCTGTACACATAGGTGCACTTGTACACTCAAACATTCACAGGCAGTTGTCGGCTGTACACACGGGTCCACTTGTACACTCAGACAATGAGGGGCAGTTCGTGAGTGTACACATAGGTCCACTTGTACACTCGAACATTCACGAGCAGTTGTAGGCTGTAGAAATGGGTCCACTTGTTGTACACTCGAACATTCATGGGCAGTTGTTATCTGTACACATGGGTGCACTTGTACACTCAAACATTCACAGGCAGTTGTCGGCTGTACACACGGGTCCACTTGTACACTCAGACAATGAGGGGCAGTTCGTGGGTGTACACATAGGTCCACTTGTACACTCGAACATTCACGAGCAGTTGTTAGCTGTACACACGGGTCCACTTGTACACTCAAACAATGAGGGACAGTTCTTGGGTGTACACATAGGTCCACTTGTTGTACACTCGAACATTCACGGGCAGTTGATGGCTGTACACGTACACACTGGTCCACTTGCACACTCAAACAATGAGGGGCAGTTGTTGGGTGTACACATAGGTCCACTTGTTGTACACTTGAACATTCACGAGCAGTTGTTAGCTGTACACACGGGTCCACTTGTACACTCAGACAATGAGGGGCAGTTCTTGGGTGTACACATAGGTCCACTTATTGTACACGCAATCATGAGACGTTCTTGGTCGTACACATCGGTCCATCCACTTGTACGCCGAAACAATCATGAGCAGTTTTTCGCTGTACACAGGGGTCCACTCGTTGTACACTCGCACAGATTACAGTCTTCCCAGAATTTCTCCCCAGGCTTAAACCGACCACAGTCTAGCAACCCAGGGGGATTACTGGGCACGATTGGTTGCGTACGATTCCAGATATGCTCTGGAGGCGGTCGAATCATTGGTCGACAGCGGGGATTATTTCCGATGCAGTTGGTTGTTATCTCTGTGCTTGTGGTATATGGTGCTGTTGTTGATGTACGACACCTGCTGTCGTTGCATTTTTTGTCACCTTGGCTGTTGCAGACGCACCGATTGCAACCCCGCTCAACCCATGTCGTTCTTGGTGTGCATTTACCAGTAGCTGCTCTTATACTGGCCGTCAAACTTTCGTATAAGGAAGAATTTGGATTTGTAACCGTCTTTGTACTTCCTTCGCTGGTTATAGGAATGGCACGGCGACTTGTAGTAGTGCTGACTTGAATATCTGTTGTCTTCATATCACCATCTTCAGCCCAAGTAGTTGCTGTTGCTGGAAGATTACTGTCTCCAGACCCATCGACAACATCATCATAATTGATTGTCGATTTTTCTTCGAACCATTGTTGATCTAAAGTTCTTTTACTTTTGGGGATGTTAAAATCACCAGTTGCCTTGTTTGTTTTATCCAAAGTCAGCTCTCTCCCTTCACGAGAATATCCTAACATTTGTTCCGCACGTTTGTTCCATACTAAATTATGTTCTCCCTCCCCAGCGAATTGACTTTCCTCGTCCAGCTGTTGGTCACGCTTTACGATTTCAAAGTTTCTATCTGCGTCTGTATCCAAGGGTAGAGTCTTGACAATAAAAGGCAGAGGACAAGATGGCGACCGGCTGCAGAAAGCGAGTCCATTGTTCTGGCATTTACACACTGTACACGATTCCTTGTCCTCCCAAGCATGACCTTTAAGAAAAAATCGTTTAAAAAGAAAATAATCAGCGATTTTATGCCTTTTTTTTTTTAAAGAATACATTCACGTGTTATTTAGTATAAAACCCAAACATTTTTTATTTGAGCTTTCAGAAAACAAAGAATTCATCTTTAATGTATACTACAAATTTAGTTCCAAAGAACTATAACACTGCACTTGTATATCAATTGAAGTAAAATAATGTTGTAATCCAGTTTCGTCCTTTTTAGGACGAAATTTTTTGTTATTTGAAGCCCCACCCTGGCTTTTGCCAGGGGCCGCAATATAGACAGGCCATAGATATGGCCAAATGTCTGAACGCGGTTTCTGGGACCTCTCCACGGTGATCCTCATCCACATGGTGGCACTATGTGTCATCGGGTGTTAATCGCTTGTGTGATGTCCTGGTGGGGTACAACAACAACTACTACTACTACTAGTTGAAGTAAAAAACAATTCATTTTGTGTATCTTTCCCATGGCAAACTACGGATGAGAGTGATGGTTGAAGAAACTAACTACTACTACTACTACTAGTTGAAGTAAAAAACAATTCATTTTGTGTATCTTTCCCATGGCAAACTACGGATTAGAGTGATGGTTGAAGAAACTAACCGGAACCTTTGAAAATGAAATGTTACAGAAACATTCTGAGAATAGCTTAGGCTAAGAAGAAGAAGAATACTGACATCCTAAATGATCTGAACATCGAGGGAAAACTGGCTCATAAACAGCATCCTGTTCCGAAAGCTTGGGCATTTTAGTGAAGCAAAAACCAGTGATGGTGGATACAGTAACTGGAAAAAGAGTCAGGACTTCCCGAAGGTGGATATAAAACATTGAAAATGTATCGGCTAGGAAAGCACACGGGGCTGAAGAATTTACTAGAGACAGAAAGACATTTATAACGCAAAATTCCCCCTTAACAGCCTAATCTATATTGTTTATTCATGCACTACACAGAATAAACATTTTTTTTTCTTTTTGTATGGGTCTACATATTGATGTTATTTTTATAGAACTCGACTCTTCACATTGTATTAGTGGTTTATATGCCACTTTTGATAGCATCTGAATTCCTCCTGCACAGTGTATGGTACCAGAACAGCACTTTCTCACATGTCTTCTTCTTCTTCTTCTTCGTGTTCACCAGCTGTACACTCTGGCGGAAGGTTTTGGTTGCTCGTCCACTACTGAACTGCAGTCCTGCTCCAGAATCTGAGTGTTGCGTGTGCATCAGTTTTACAGATCTCATTTTCTTGAATACAGACTGTTGGTTCCTTGCCTTTCCGGCAGATGTACTCTGACTTCAAAGGAAGCTCCCCAATTAGTCGACTCTTGCGACATGCTTTTGGGTAGGCAGTGGGTCTATTCTTGTTTCCCCCCACAATGGGGTCCCAGAACCCACACGGGGGAATTTCTCACTTGTGTTCAGTGTGTTCTAATAATTATGATAAGGAATAGCATTATTTATATGCCAGTACTAATCTTCTTATAGTCCATGCCGTTTGGCCTTTGTCGTCATGTCTCTCCCCAAGTTTCTATGATGTCAAACTGTCTAGAATCTTCTCTCTCAGTCTCCCTCTACCTCGCCTTCTTACCGTCACGATATACTCGTTTGGTCCTTCACGTGAGTGCCTAAGCATTGTAGATTTTCTCCTTCTGATACTAATTCTCATCATCATCATAAATCACGTCTGCGGCTAAGCGGCGTAGGGAGGAATAATTTGTGATCCAGTGCACGCTGTCTGCCACTGGCTTTTGTCATGCCGTGAAAGCGTAGAATTTCTTAAATGTTGTTGATTCATATTTTCCGCGACCATCCTCTTGCTCTCATAGCTGATCTTCTGAGATACTAATACTAACAGTAAAAATATAACAAATGTTACCTTCTACACAATCGCCAGTAACCAGTCTAAAGCCATCAATTCTGGAGACCACGAAGCTGGGGTCACCACAGGTAATGGAGTTGTCCTTTCCGCAGTAGCACCGTAGACTACCCCCGTACCATCTCTCTCCCAATCTACAATAAACAAGAAAAAAAAAGATTATTATTATTATTATAATAGCAGAGAAAAGCTTGTGATAGTGATTAATAGTTGCGGATCTTTTACATAAGGTTGCAAAACTAATTTTCTAGACAAATTTTACTTTCAGCATTTGCCACTGTTTTAAAAAAAAGTCAGAAGACGACTTGTGTTAGCAATGCAGAGATCAAACAGCAGGAAGAACCTATAGCAAAACATCTGCAAATTAGTCAAAGTAATAATCTTGCGATCATGCATTTTTCCTGTGGAAACTGACGGCTGTGAGTTCTGGACTCATTCACATGAGAAACAGACTGGAACTTTTGAATTAAAATGTTGCAGAAAGGTGCTCTGAATACCACCAATCAAGAAGAGGTAAAACATGGACATTCTACACGAGTTCAACATCGAGGAGAACTGGCTCATAAACAGAATCCTGTACCGGAAGTTGAAGTATTTTGGCCACATGAAACGTCATTGTAGCTTGGAAAAGACGGTGATGGAGGATGCAGTTTGTGGAAGGCGAGGCAGGGGTCGATCACCGCAAAGATGGATATAAGACAGTGAAGATGCATTGGCATCGAAAGCACATGGGGCTGGAGAGCTGGCTAGGAGAAGGGATACTTTCAGGCGTGCCGTGAAGAGACCGACGTTTTGTAAAGGACTTGTTGACTGATGATGAGGTTGCCATCGCTTACTCAACGGTCGGCTCTCGGTACCAATGACGAAACCAACGCCAAGCGAAAAGTCGTCTGCAGCTGGGATCGAACCCGGCACCCCGGCATTATAAAGTTCGTTCGCAACGGCTAAGCTAAGGCAATCTGTTAGTCCTTCTCAGGATTAGCAGACTCCCCTCCCAAACGCGAGGAAATCAACCCTACCAAGAGCCGCATAGCCGGACCACGTCGGACATGTAGCAGAAAAATGAAACTTAGGCGAAACTGATGGCCACAATTATACACAATTCATTTAAGACAGCAAAGAACTAGTCCTCAATATAGCAGGCCCTTGGGCGGCTCAAAGAGGAAGAAGTCAGTATTTTTTGTGTTTATGAAATTGGAAATGGAATTGAAACTAAGCTAAGCCACAGACAATACTGGTCAATTGTGACATAAAACATGGAGATAAGAGTAGACAGTGAAAGGGGTGAATAAAACGGAGAGGACTCGATATTCCCAAGGGTAACTGAAGTCGCAGTATACATATCTAAATACATACTGAGCTTTTTTTTTTTTTTTAATAGGCAAAAAAGTCCCGGAGCTCTCCAACAGTTTCAAGCAGAAGGTGCCGAAACTCACAACAAAATGTTTAATACAGTAGTGCTTGAAACACTTATTCCTGAACAAGCTCAAGCCTATTGATGGGCATAGCTCATTTGGCTCAGTGTCGTAAGCATCGAAGCATTTCCGCCTCTGTGCCACGTTTAATCTGGGGATTATGCGGCTTTTTAAGTCGGCTCTGTGGCCAAGTCGATGCGAACGCTTCGTAAAGCCGGGATGCTGGGTTCGTTCCCAGCTGCGGGCAATACGCCTTGCGTTGGTTTCCACTGTGGCATCAAGAAAGCCCACAGTCCAGAAGCAATGGCAAACTACTGGACGTAACTTTGCCTAGAAAACCCACACAACAGCCAGGGGCTGTTGGGTTTGGTTCTGCAACGTCCTGTAAAGGATACGAAACTAACCTTCAATGCGGCTTCCTGCCCTCTCCCGGCTCGAATTTGAGGCCGGACACGCATGGGGATTGTTCCCTGACGTCCAACACGCTATCAACTGCTGGAGCGCCGGGACAAGAAGTGGCTCTATAATGGACCCTTGTCCACACATTCAGACATTAAGGGCTAGACCTATAGTTTATAGACCAATCCGCACTCGAGGAATGATGTGGTCAACATAAAGCCGGCCGCCTTTCCTTCCAAGGACTGTTCCTGGTACCATTTCAGGCTGGGTCGACCTGGGAGCTAAAGTAATTTTTGTTGTTGAATGTTGAATTAAGAATCGACATCACAGCACTCGGGACACCCCATAAGCGCTCCGTCACCATCTTGAGCAGCAAGCGAAGAGTTAAAATTCCGATGGTATCAGTAACTGTCTGACTGTATATCCGTCTCGCCTTTCTCCTGAGTGTCAAGCGTCGGCCAGATCCCCCTGTAACTCCTCGCAGTGCCATTCTTCTCAGACCGTAATGATCTATCGGTGCCTCAGCACTGTTCACTCGCTCCTAAAGCGCCCTCACAACATCCAGCTTGTCATAAGTCAGTTCAACCCCCCAAGAGGTGCAGAACTGGCTAGTCTATCTGCCTGCTCATTTCCCAACACACTGGCATATTTTTTGTTAGCAAAAAGTCCAACTTTAAAGCCCTATGTGTATACAAGGTCTTTTTTGTTTTTTGTTTTTGTTTTTACGGGGAGTCTATATCTATCTATTTAATAATAATAACTTGGGCAATCAAATACAGATTAAGAATATATTCTGCCATATTGTGTCTCCTTACTTTTTGTTTCTCTTGTTGCGAAATCTATTATTCTCCTCTTTTCTATCACATCCTGTTACGTTAATTAAGGAAGGGTCTTGTCATATACTCGGGGAGGGGAGGGGTGTGGTGGTCCTACCATATACTCATGGGGTAGGGGAACTTTGCCATATATTCAAGGGGTGCGTGAGGGCCTTGCCATTTACACTAGGGGAGCGTGAGAGCCTTGCCATTTACACTAGGGGAGCGTGAGGGCCTTGCCATTTACACCAGGGGAGCGTGAGGGCCTTGCCATTTACACTAGGGGAGCGTGAGGGCCTTGCCATTTACACTAGGGGAGCGTGAGGGCCTTGCCATTTACACTAGGGGAGCGTGAGGGCCTTGCCATTTACACTAGGGGAGCGTGAGGGCCTTGCCATTTACACTAGGGGAGCGTGAAATGAAAAAGGTTCTGCTGAAAAACCACCGACCCGGCTGCTTCGAGATACCAGCTAAGTGGTTTGGTGTATTTGTGTAGTATTGTTTGATTTGTATGTGCCGATGAAGGCTCCACGGCCGCAAAGTTCACCTTTTGTTTTTATTTGTTACATTGTGAAGCTTGCTTATATTCTTTTCGTTCGGTTTTATATCTTTTCTTTTTATATCGTTTCATGATATAAAGCAGTGCATCGTCAACTTCTACGGACTGTATTTGTGGACCTTCACTGTTGTCCTACAGATCTATGTTGGATTCTTGAACATTAGCGTTTTTTTTTTTTTTTGTCACCAAAGGACATTCGTAAAAAAGATATAGCTTTTTAGAAGTTTGTGGAATTATTTAAAATAAAAAGAAGCTAATGAAGTAAGAATAATGAAAGTTTGGGGTATTGTCAGTACAGTACAAAATTGATCACGCAGAGAGAGAGAGAGAGAGAGAGAGAGAGAGAGAGAGAGAGAGAGAGAGAGAGAGAGAGAGAGAGAGAGAGAGAGAGAGAGAGAGAGAGAGAGAGAGAGAGGAAACTTTGGGGATTTGCCAGTTCAGTAAAGGAAAAAAAAATTGCTCATGCAGAGAGGGGTAAACAAAGGTCTTGGGAACCAGCAGTGTTTAAAAAAAAGCTCCCACATCCCCCTCCCCCCTAAAAAAAATTATAAATAAAATTAAAAAAAAAAAAAAAAAAAAAAAAAACCACAAAACAACACTACAACAAACCTGCAACGATCTGCCTTAACAACCAATAGCGACGCCCCTTTAACTTCAGAGATTGTTTGACCACTTGATTTAGCACTTTGGCCTGGTTTAAGCACAGAATGACCGCCAGTATGGTGGCCAAAAACTTGTCTACTCAAAGCAATCCTATTTCTTTCTGAATCAAAAACAAGTTTGAGAATTTCTTTGTTTGTTAAACGTCCTTCCGTTTTCCCATAATGTTGTTTTGAACTTGATGACGATGTGAATAAAGGATTTAATTCAGCAGTGACCGCCGGAAGTGCATCCCTATCAATAACCTCGGCTTTGCAAGATGGGACCCCATCGATTCCACGGATACATTGCTCGTCCGCTGGTTGCTCACAAGCCCCGTTCTCCGTAGCGTCTGTCTCCAGGCCATGTCTGTGGACTAGCCGAAGGCAAGCTTTGTCCGGAGTGCATTCTATCGTTTTGAGGTCACACTTGCAGGAGTAGCAGCCATCCAGCCAGCTGAAATTGTAAAAGTGGAAATGTGGGAAGGGGGGAATGTAAGTTTAGTACAAGATTGTTACTTTTAAGCAGTCATATATTTTCTCATTTTCAATATTCTTACCAGCGCTAAGACAGAATGGAAATAGACACGACATAAATAAAATGTTTACATACTATGCTAGGTGCAACGAGGAAAGATCGACTTACGAACAGTGATATCAGGAGGGGAGTCAATATAGAACCAGTGCTGAACATTATAGGTAGACAACACATCAAATAGTTCTGCCATGTAACAAAAGTGGCATAAAACAGGGTACCGTTGAGATCAAGGTTATACAGATGCAGCGGTAACAGAGTCAGAGGTCAACGACGCAGAAAATAGACCGCAGAAATTGACACACTAAAAAGTACTTTATACGAATCAAACAGAATGGCCCGTTCCAGCGATCTCTTCCTGTCCCGACACCTCAATGCATTCCAGTAGCTGAGACAACAAGAATAACATTTATTTTCTTCGCTCACAAAGACTTTAGTCTAAACGTTCGATTTTTGTTTTTGTGGCTTTCCATATAAATTAGTGTGCGTTTGGTCATTAACCTTTTTTTAAACCAAAAAACTTCTACTATCATTATCATTATACAAGTGTGTATGATTACGATCATTATTGCCAGAGGCTATTTCTGTGGCGTCACAAACAATACACAGTACAGGAAACTGTTTTCGTCATTTCTTTTTTCAGCACCACTGTAATAATAGTGAATCGAGTTTTATAAGAAAGCGCCGCTGGAACTACATCAGCCATGCACTCCGAATGGATAAGACAAGACTAAACCATCAAGCCCTCAAATGGACACCGGAAGGGAAAATAAAACGGGGAAGAGCAAGAGAGACACAAAACTATGACCTCTGTCCTATGCACCGCCACAGGCTCAAGAGAAAAAACGAAGACTGCAATAGACACTCTATGAGAAGTATCGACCTCTTTACACATTTTGTGAGTACCGGAACTTATTTTTATTGTTTTCTTAAAAAAAAAAAAAAAGCCATGTTCACTATTACAAGTACTACTCCAATCACCAGTACTACTAAATCAACAGATTACTAAAAAAGTTAACTGCGTATCCTTTACAGAAGATTGCAGAAACAACCCAAGCACTTTCTGTCTATAGGCAAATTTGCGTCTAGTCGTTCGCCATTGCTACTCAACGGTCGGCTCCCGATAACACTGTCAAAACCAGCGCAAGACAAACCGTCCGCAGCTGGGATCGAACCCGGCATTACTGTGCGCATTCGCAACGCCTAAGCTACAGACTCCGACAGATTACTAAAGCAACTACTGTTTAACAAGTAAAAGCATCACCACTAATTCAATAACAGAAGTAACTCTACCTTCTAATCATCCTACCCCACTAGTACTAATACTACTACTGCAAATTATGTAAACACCACCATCACTACTATTATAACCGTTGCTGTACTTACTATTACTTCTATAAAGTCTCATCGTCATCATCATCATGTAGCAGGTTCTTTGTAGAACGTCGCTCTCGCCACGGTCTGCCTGAAAGAAACTCGGTCTCTCGCCAGCTCTTCCGCCTCATGCACTTTTATACTCAAGGAGTCACTGATATCCTGTGCCCATCTTCGTGTCGGTCGACCCCTGCCCCTCCTTCCTGGTACCATGCCTTCTGCTATAATTTTTCCAATCCGTCGTGGCGCTTGATATAACCAAAATATTTTAGCTTCCGAGAAAGGATGCTGTTTATTAGCCAATCTTCCTTGATGTTCAGATTTTTCAAGATGTCAGTATTTCTCCTCTTCTTTGTCCAAGATATTCTGATTCTCTTTCTATAGCACTTCAGCTCAAAAGCCTCTTTCTCTTTCTTAAGGACTGGGAGATAGTCCACGACTCACATCCGTATGTTGCTACAGGGAACACGCATGCTCTCAAAATTTTAATTTTTATCTCCTTGCTGGTGCTTAACCGTAGACTTTTAATGCTGTTTATCTATTAAGTCTACATTCTATTAACTCTTTGAGTCCCAGGGGGGTTTGGCATCAGAGGCCCAAGGGGTAGTGAAGAAAGATGTAAAATCAGCGCATCTTGCGTTTATTGGGCCTCTAGGCGGGATCCTATGAACGTCTGATGCGTTCCTTGGGACTCAAAGAGTTAATATCAGGACGCAAATATTCTTGGGTAAAGGCAAATGATAACGCCTACAACAAACATAATATATCATCTTTAGAAAACACATACCTTTACACCTTCTGCCAGATTTCATTACCCACCGGGTTACGTACATTTTCTACAATTGGCAATTCTGACATCCACTTATTCACATTGTGCCAATCTGGGTCCATGTAAAAACTCACATTCTGGTGTCACACCTGGCATACATCTCAAGTAGCATAGTTAAGATGATCCAACTTGAAATAACCAGACAGGTGTGGCGACCTGATTCCACTTACGCATCCGTTTTCAGGTGAGCTGTTGCGCAATGTTCAGGTAATATCAAGTATACAGTACCGATTTCTACAGCCTTATAGACTCCAGGCAAAGAAATGCATCAGGCTCTGTCTTCACAACCCGCTCATAGCATCATAGGGTGACCACACGTCCCGTTCTCATGTGGACAGTCCTGTTTTTGTTCTTCGTTGTGTTTTGGCCGTCCCTTGTTTGTCCCGTTTTATAAAAACAGTTGACAGCGAAAATGTCATTATTCGCGTTGCCAGAGAAATTGCAGCACGGGTCTAAAGGCCTGGTCTGCCCTAGAGGAACAATACGCTTGAGAGCTCCATTGTCCCCTACAAGGATAAGGATGATATCCTAAAGCGTTCCTCCGTGCTAAGTGGTAGGCACAATATGGACTGGTACTTGCCGCCCAACATTCGGCGTTAACCGGCTGATCAAAATCAGTAAGTTAGTGATTTAAGATGTTAGCAGGGTATCCTTTACAGGACGTTGCAGAACCAACCCCAGCATTTTTTGGCTGTTGTGGTTTTTCTAGGCCAATTTACGTCCAGTAGTTTGCCATTGCTTTCTGGACGGTGGGCTTATCAATACCACTGTCGAAACCAACACAAGGCGCATGGCCCGCAGCTGGGATAGAACCCGGCACCCCGGCATTACGAAGCTCGTTCGCAACGCCTAAGCCACATACATTAGTGAGTTCGAAAGACCTTTAGGATCGAAAACATGGCGATAACTTAAACCTCTGTTAATATACTACATTAATTAACTGGTGCCTGCGCAGAATAGAAGGAATCCAATGGCATAATGGAATCACAACTGCAGAGCTTTGGGAGATAAGTAGACAAATTTCAAAATCTAGGGTTGATGAAAATACGCTGGCTTTGGATAATACACACGTTGAGCTGACATAGGAACTAGAGGACATCCAAGGATATGATGGACTGATGACATGAAAGACACTGTACATCCACATGAAATGACAATGGCATGTGCACATATGGAGCGCTTAATTGCAACTCCACTCCGTCCCCTCCCCCAACAACGTCGGCTAACGACAAACGTGGAAGTTGATCGAGTTGATGATGGTGACGATGATGATGATGATGACGATGACGATTATAATGGTGACGATAATGATGATGATGGTGACGATGATAATGGTGACTACGATGATGATGATGGTGATGATGTTGACGATAATAATGGTGACGACGTGACGATGATGATTTTGATGACGATGGTAATGGTGACGACGATGATGATGTTGACGATGATAACGGTGACCACGATGATGACGATGGTGATGGTGACGATGCTAATGGTGACCACGATGATGACGATGATAATGGTGACGATGATAATGGTGGCGACGATGATGATGGTGACGATGATATTAGTGACCACGATGATGATGGTGACGATAATAATGGTGACTACGATGATTATGGTGACTACGATGATGATGGTGATGATGTTGACGATAATAATGGTGACCACGTGATTATGATGATGTTGATGACGATGGTGATGGTGACGACGACGATGATAATGGTAACCACGACGATGACGATGGTGATGGTGACGATGATAATGGTGGCGATGATAATGGTGGCGACGATGATAATGGTGACGATGATAATGGTGACGATGATAATGGTGACTACGATGATGATGATGATGATGACTACGAAGATGACGATGATGGTGACGACGATGATAACGATGGTAGTGACGATGATGATGGTGACGATGAAGAGGACAATAGCGATGATAACAACTAACATCATACCTGGATCCATTACCGTGACAGGCTGGGAGTTGTGAAGAAATAATGGAACAATCCGAAGAGGTGCACGTCGATCTGCCATGTTGGCAAACACACCATTGGCAGCCATCAAACCACTTGTGCCCTTCCCCTCGCTGGCCTCCACACTGGGCACCAGACGGCCGGGACCAAACACGTGACACCAAAATCAATGACGTCAGTATGGTCTCAGTCGACAATTGGATATACATTGTTTCTGTTGCCAAGAGGTTCTCAAAATCTGCACAGGAAAATCCGTTACACTCGGTTGTTGTTTTTTTGTTTTTTTTTTCACTTCGTGGGCTGTCTTCGTCAATTCCTTTTCTTTATTATGATCAAATGAAACTTTATTTCTTAGAATGTTTAAGTAAAACGGCGATCGTTTTGGACGCTGGTCTTAAATCGCTGAACTGTAGATAAGATTTGGTATTGTTTTCCGTGGCTTTTTCAGGTATCCTTAAATTCTGAAACACAGAAAATGTATTTATAACCACACACCAACACAAATTAAAATTGTCTACAAACACAAGAAGCAATCAACAAATACAGGGTTGGTTTGAAGTTTATGTGCAAATGAAGATGGTACTATATCTGACTTAATCAAGTAACAGAAAGTATTGTGAACGGCCCTCATAGAAAGAAGTAGAAAGATAGAAGAACACACTAGACAACATAAAAATCGAAAGCTATAGTTACCGTGCCGGGAATTGAACCTGTCACCTCCAGACGGCGTCTGTGCCTCGCCATGAATACAAGTGCAATAAGATACATAATCAACTAGGTTTATTTACTATATCTGAAACATCCTAAGAAGAAACAAACAGAAAATCATCAAACAGATACTAAAACGGAAAGTATCGAGGAAGCGAGAGCGTCTAAACGAAACCCTAAAACGAACGTTGATGAAAGAGGCCAAAGGTACTGGACTGGACTCCATCCATGGTATCGAAGCGATTGCAATTTATAGAACGGAATAGATTAAAAGACTGCGAGCTATACGTGACATATGACAAAGTTAACATTACCTAGTAAAACCACAAACAAGGCAAGTAAAAAAAAAAATTTAATTTATTATTACAAAAAAAAAACCACAGTGGATAGTTCTGCAACGTCCTGTAAATGAATGAATGTTTAACCCCACCAAAACCACACATGTAGCGACAAACACCCGGTGACACAACGTGCCACCATTTGGATGAGAATCACCTGGGCGTACGTCCAGAAACCCTATTCAACCTTTAGGTTATATTAGGGTCCCCGACAACAGCCGGATAGCAACTCTCGTCCCATTTTTAAAGCCCTACCCAGGCTATAGTCGAGTGCCCTAATATAACCTAACGGTTAAACAGTTGCTTGGACCTGTGCCCGGGTGATACTCATCCGAATGGTGGTACTTTGTGTCATCGGGAGTTGGTCGCTCATTGTACAGTCCTAGTGGGGTTGAATCACATCCTAACCAGTCGGAGTGGGGCTTTAAAGTAACTATCTAACTACCGCCTTCATTAATCAACCCTAGAACACCGTTTATAAAAGTTAGTGCGCTCCCCGGCAAGCACTGGATGGGTGTTTTTGTATTTGAGTTTTGCACCGTAAGTTCTCACTCCCAGAATAGAAACACAGGCTCGGCGAGAACCCAGAATAGCCAACAAAGAGAAAGCTATGGCAGCGGTGCATTTAGTGTGTACTCATGAACTTCTTCTTCGTTTGCCACCAGCGGAGCATAGGCCCCCAACTAACTCACACCGTCGCCCTAACCTTTGATATCGCATGTAGATCACCTTATGTCTTCCCCATCTGTTTGATTTCACTCTTGAGCTTCCTTTTTCGTGTGTGTGTGTGTGTGTGTGTGTGTGTTTGTGTGTGTGTGCATGTTTCCCTTTATTTCTGCGCGTTCTAGTGCTTGTTCATGCTTTCTCAACGAATGACCAAATAAACTGATGTTCTTTATGTTGGGTTGTGCATACCCCCCACCTCCCCCCCCCCCACGACCTCTCTTCCCCCACAAATGCCGTATTTACTTCAACGAAAGACAAAAAATTATGTCCAACCAGGGGGGCTGCGTCGTCTCGAGGCATGGCGTCCGCTTCGAGTGCTAGAGGTTCCGGGTTCAATACCCTGTAACGGCGGAGATATGCAAACGCCCGTGTGCATTGTTGCGCACGCAAAAAATCCTTTGGCAGTTGGAAATCTAAAAGAGTAGCCTAACGGCGCTGCCCGGGCAAAATTTGGAGTTAAAAATCTACCCAAAGTGTTTCAGGATCCCCACCGGTGCTACAGAGCCTGTGCACTGTGTTGAGCTTCTCAAACTCAGACTTGAGTTAGAAGAAGAACGGATGGTTCTTTATTAACATCTTACCCCAGACGACGTCACAGGACAGTCTAACATTTTAGAGTGTGGTAAGACTGGGTTCCCGGCTTTCTGATGTTTTAAACGACCACAAAACATCTAGAACTGGCCCTAACTCCAACCTACCTACGCCCCACGAGAGAAAGCTGCTTAGGTCCCTCGACTGCATGCAGCCTATCTACCACCAACTGAAATATTAGACTATCCCACGACCTGTGGATTTCCCCTGTTTGGGGTACGATATTAATAAAGCACTGAACGGAGCACTTAAGAGTTACTACCCGTGTGCCATGATGTTGATCCGTTTTTCAAAACCCAAAACCTCAAATCTTCCAAGCAAATTAGAAATAGGCCTACTCAAAACCAAATGCAAACAAACTACTAGCTAACAGGCCAACTTACAATCTGCAATCAGGACCGATCACTCTCGTTTATTTATTAGTAAATTATACATATTGCCTCACTGCTGTGTCTAGAATACACAAACATTTAAGAAAGGTTATTTGATTGATTTTTGGCACGAAAACTTCACCTTGTCTTGACTTTTACAGACTGAACACATAAATGAGGACGTGATGTTTGATCTGGGAAGCTGCCAAAACACTCTGCCCAATCACAACCGTGGATGGTCTATTACAGCCGACAACACCAAAAACTATAAATCGTTGTTTTTACATCTAAAGGACGATGTTCCACACCTTCAAACCTATTGGGCAAATAGAGATAGCCCTATAGACCAATCGGCATTCGGCAGGTGATGTAGCCACCATCACACAGGCCGCCTTTACTTCCTATGACTTTGCCTGGTACCCATTAAGGGTGGACCAACCAGGTAGTCAACGTTATTTTTGAAGAAGAAGGAAAGCCGGTTCTGTTTGGATTTCAACCCATGACCTTGGCATCCACAGGCGAGCCTCTAGCCGCTACACCACGGCGGCCTCTTTACAAATCGGGGCGTCTCCAAAATTCAGCAGCAGCGTTGGAATCTGAAAGCTTAAGCACCTTGAGCCCCCCCCCCCCCCCCAAACTACTTTTTCATTATTTGTAGTAGCTGAGAGCTTAAACAATCTGCAATGGTAATAACTAAGTGATCTTCCCCCGACCAATATATGTATAGTATATAGATGTTCTCTTTGCAAGTAAGTATTCATTTGTGCGTTACATATAATTACAGTGGTACCTCGGTATATCAGGAAAAGGACGGGGATCCGGGGAAAAAAATGGGGGGGGGGGGGGCACGTTAAACTTTGTAAGATGTCGTGTATCCAGCTCAGAATGTTAGGGTTACCCTGTGTGTTTTAATATTGAATAACGTTTACATTGTTTTATACAACCCCATTTGTGTATAACATACGCATAACAATAGGGCCCCCCCCCCCCCCTAATAGGAACGGATTAATCATTCCGCGTGAATTTCTTATGGGAAAATTCATTTTGTCTACTTACTGTTTTGTATACGTCCAAGGATCTGGAACAGAGTAAGGACGTATACCGAGGTACCAGTATATTTAAATATATAAGAAGTATCATAATTTTAGGTTAGTTCCACTGTAGCCCCGCCCCCATCTTCTGAGACCGCACATATACACACTAGCTCACTTCTGATTGGTCGACCTCCAGTCACCCGACCTTCACACAGTGCTACGGGGAAGTTCAGCATGTTGTATATTTGAGCACGCCAGCGCTTTTTACACTACGAAAACATTTGAAAACTGGGTCTAACACACAAACTCCCTAAGACAGTGCTGCAACCTTTGTCACAGGCATTCTCTTTCTCGAAAGAAAAGCGTAAATGCAAGACAAGCCAAAAAAGCAAACAACATAGCGGCACATCCGTAACCCCCCCCCCCCCACCCCCACCCCGAACAGCAGACCAGTCCAAAAATGTTATCAATGGAACGTGACCTAATTTCTCTGGTGAGGTCTATCGTGGAACTAAATCGCCCACTTTATTGATGTCTACCTTTTGTTCATGTACTTTCAATCAAGTTTGGGCTATCCTCCGACTAACGGGCACAAAAGAACGCGGCCGCAAAAACACCCTGACAGAGCCTCAGTCAAGTGTCAATTGCGCACTTCCAGCGACTTAATTTGCGGTTTTCCGGCGACTACCGCCACAGCTCACGCGGCGTGGGGGAATAAAGAAAGAATGAGCGGCTTTGTGGATACACTCGGCGGTGGCGAATTAACGTGACTGAAGCCCTGATTTGGCCGCCATTGGCCGCCATTTTTTGTGCCCGGTATTTAGAGGATAGCATAAGTTTGACACAAATGATCGTCCATACCTTGTGGCGTTGGTAGTTATGTCTATCCACAACCCTTTGTCTGGTATACTTTCAATCAGCTCTGGGCAGATTGTCCTCCATTTCATAATATCAGACTGCCCAGCCTCTTCTCTTTCTGTTTTTATTTTATTTTTTTTATTATTTTTTTATTTTTTTCAAGACATTTAAATTATTTATTTTTACCTGTCCGGAATATTCTCATCGTTCGTCTATAAAACCACATCTCCCAAATAATTGTTCATATATGTTACACAGACAAAGAAACTCAGGCGAAACTGATCGCCACAAATAAAGGAAATTCATCTAAGATAGCAAGGAAATAGTCCTCAGCACAGCAGGTTCTCGAGCGGCTCAAAGAGGACTGAGCTTGGAATTTTTTGTTTATCAATTTCATTAATCGGCTAACTGACCATGGGGCTTCAGTCGATGGGAGACTTTCTTTCAAATCCAGCTGCGACTCGCTGCAGCCCACGGCCGGTGTTCGAAACCGGGTGGTTCCCGGGGTTCACCCAGCCTCTTTGTAATGGGTACCAGAGTTAACACTCTGGGGTAAATGGAGGAAAGTCGCTGTAGCTACGGA